GAGGAGGTGACCGCAACTATCCGAGAGGCCATGCTGGAGATGTTTGGGTCTACCAAGACCACCTTGATTGAGATGTTTGATGAGCATTACACTGTGGTTACCGAGGCGGCTGCTACTGCAGCCACCGCAGCTATCGCTGTCGTCAGGCCTCGGGCAGGCGACTCGTTGCTGTATCGGGAGTTCAGCAACACGAAGCCACCAGAGTTTGACAGGACTCAGGACCCGATTTCCACGATGAGATGGATCTATAACATCGAGGGGTGCTTTTACAGTTGTTATTGTCCGGAACATTTAAGGGTCCGCTTTACGCTGAACCAACTTTGCTTGAGGGCGAAGGACTGGTGGAAGTTTGTGACAGCCAACTTCACTTCTATAGAGCTCACTGCAGTATCTTGGGAGAGGTTTACTAATATGTTTCGAGATGAGTATATTCCCCCGGTGGAGAGGGAACGGTTAGCCCATGAGTTCTTATCCCTCAAGCAGAGGACAGAGTCCGTGACAGTGATTATCAGGATGTTCCATGAGAGGGGGATGTTCTACCCCGAGCACATGTCTCCCAAACAGACATGTATGAGCTTATATTTGAGTATATTGAGGAGGGATATTCGTGAGTTCTTGGCGAGCTCGACATACCATACGTTTGCTAAGCTCCAGGAAAATGCCTGGAAGAAGGAGATTGAGCTGGAGACTCAGGCCAGAGAGGAGGTAGACTCTCAGAGGAGGGATAGGCGACCGACACAGTCTCAGTCGTTAGCCAAACAGCCAAAGCCCACTGATTTGGGATCTGGAGGCCATAAGGGCTGCACTTGTGGGAAGTGCGGCAAGAGTAATGAGGGAGTATGTCGAGCAGGTGTGTGCTACAAGTATGGCAAGGAGGGGAATATCGCGGAGAATTTCCTCAAGGGGTTTGCAGTTTGCTTTCACTGCAACCCGACAAGACATCAGAAGGCTGAGTACCTGCAACTGTTATAGGGATCAACACAACGATCTACCCCTGCTACTACACGAGCTACAGAGAGCCGGCTAGTGAAGGTCGAGGTACAAAAAGGCTCGCGGGAGATCTTTCCAGCTGACAGCGGAGGAGGTCCGCGCAGCACCTGATGTCGTGGCTGGTATGTGGTCTTTTATTTATTCTGTTTAAGTTATTTTGTTCTTATATTGTGATATGAGTAGGTACTTTTCTTGTGAATTCTATACCTGCCTTGGTGTTATTTGACTCGGGTGTGTGTCGATCCTTCGTATCTTTAGCTTTTATTCATCACATCATTATCCGACAAGAGGCGTTAATTCGAGCTCTGAGAGTCTCTATAGCCGATGAGCATGCGATGTTTGAGACTGATGTGATTCGGGGATGTGTGCTTGAGATTTTTGGAATTGAGTTTTCGATAGATCTAATACCAACTACGATGGGGGATGTCTGTGTCATCGTGGGCATGAACTGGTTGAGTCGATTCGGAGCTATGATAGACTACGAGCGTCAATTGGTGACCATACGAGACCCTAGTGGGGGATTGCTTACAGTTTATGGCGAGGGTACCCGATTTGAGTCAGCATTTTGCTCGGTCGCCATAGCAAGAAAGAGTCTACAGCTGGGTTGTAGGGGTTTTGTAGCGTATGTGATGGATACGCGAGTTGCTGCCGAGAGATCGAGTTCTATCGCTGAGGTTCCAATAGTGAATGAATTTCCGAATATTTTTCCTGAGGAGTTACCAGGTGTGCCTCCCGAGAGGCAGGTGGAATTCTGGATTGATTTGGTTCCAGGATCAGCGCCTATTGCTAAGGAACCTTATCACCTTGCGCCGCCCGAGATGCAGAAGTTATCCTCGTAGCTTCAAGAGCTGTTGGGGAAAGGTTTTATCCGACCGAGTAGCTCTCCGTGGGGAGTGCCGATCCTTTTTGTCAGGAAAAATGATGGTTCACACCGGATGTGCATTGATTACCGGGAGTTGAACAAGATGACGGTCAAGAAACGTTATCCGCTGCCGAAGATCGACTATTTGTTCGATCAGTTGCAGGCTGCGTCTTGGTTTTCCAAGATCGACTTGAGGTCTGGATACCATCAGATGAGAGTCCGCGAGGAGGATATCCAGAAGACATCCTTCAGAACTTGTTATGGACATTACGAGTTTGTGGTGATGCCTTTTGGGCTCACCAACACACCAACAGTGTTCATGGATCTCATGAACCGGGTGTGCAGACCTATGTTGGATTGATCGGTGATTGTGTTCATCAACGATATTTTGGTGTACTCGAGATCCAACGAGCAACATGAGGAGCATTTGAGAGAGATTCTTGG